AAAGAGATGGGGTGGGTGTTTGGTGCAGTGATGTAAGACACCACTTGAGATGCCAATAGCCTATATCGGAGTGCCTGGGTTCCAGTTCCAGCTCCTATCCTGATGCCAGCTTTCTGTTAATGCACGCCCTAAGAAGCAGTGTGTGATGGTTCAAGTATTTAAGCCCTTGTCACTCACCGGGGATACACTGATGAAGTTCTGGGCTCCTGGCTTCAGTCTGGACCAGGCCAGGCTAGTGTGGACATTTGGGTACTGAAGCAGGGGTTGGAAGTTTTCTCTCTTTCTAATACAATTAAAACAAATAAATCAAAGTTTTTGTAAAAGTTATATGAACATACATTAATAGAAGTGATCTTTAACAAACCTTTAGAGGAAACTTCAGTATAATTAAACACAACTAAAAAAGTTCAAAGATAATGACAACTGGAAAAATGCAGATAATCTATGAGAGGTAAAGGAGAAATGATTTTAATGTATGCAGAGTTACAAACCAACAAGTATAAAAATGAGCTAGATTTTACGAAGTACTTCAAGTAAAAATGCAAATGAGATATAAATATATAAAAGTTATATAAAAGTTCACCTCATATAAACAAATATAGACAAAACTAATAAAGCGCCTTTAAAAGTCCACTGAACTGTCAAAACATGTAAAAATCGATAAATATACAACAAGCATGGCCAAAATTAAAATTTTATTCTTGATAAGAAAGCATATTGGTGAAAGTTTTTAGGGAGGGCAGTTAGGTTACCTGTATCTTTAACCAAATCAATCTATAATTATTATATTAAGGCAAGTATTTGTACCTGCTTTCAGACTAGGATATTTATTTCATCAGTGTTTAAGATGAAAATGAAATTTTAAATGAATGTGGACTTATAAATTCTATTATGCCTTTAGAATAGAAAAAAAAACAGAAATGCAAAATTATTATGCAGCTTCCCATTTTTAACACAGAAATATGTCCATGACAGAAATAGACAGATATACACACATACATTGTGAAAGAAGGGGATGTGAGAAGATGTAAACATTGTTTGTCTCTCAGTTGTATTTTATGAGTGGATTACCTTTCCCTTCACTGACTGATTTTTAAACCAGAATTGTATATTATCTTCATCATAAATAGTTATTTCCATTTTTAAATGTAATTTATTTATTCATACCCCAATCTTTAATACTTTTTAATCCTGCAGCAATGTGTAAAGTGCATTTGTATGCATGGTATTTTTGTTTCACAGTTTTTCTCTTTTTGAGAGAGAGAAAAGCAAGATTTACTTTAAATCAGAAACCTTCTGCAGAAGCAGCCCAGAGAAAGGCTCCAAAAGAGCCAGACCTGAAAAACTGATGGAAGTAGGTTTTTTTTTTTAAGCACAGTTATCAACAAACCTGTGGGGGGGAGGGGGGTGGAAGGTGGGGAGGGGACCACACACACCCATCAAAAGGCTGGATTTGTAACCTGTTTGCCCTGTCTAGCACACTGAGGATAAAACAAAAGAGCCATAGGAGGGGTAAGGTATATAACTTCTTTCTACTTTAATAGTAAAACTAGAAACTCAGAAGGCTGAAATTTGGGCTTTTGTGTTGCTACAGGAACCTTTGGGGGAGAAACAGATGCAGTGGGATTTGGCACTTTGATCTTGCTAAAGATAACTTTTGGGGGAAGCAAGCATTTTGCAACATCTCAAGAATAATTATAAATTTTTAAAGATATTGACAACACTTGTCCATATACATTTTTGAGCCTCATTTTTGAGCTCATTCATTTTTGCATAAAAATCATTCAATTTGATTAGTTTGGGGAATATAATTTTACTAGCAATATTGTAATTCTTATAATATTTAAAACCAAAGTTTAAAACTGTTTGAGTTTCTTATACATAGCAGCCTGATGTAGCATAGCGAGGAAAAATATTTACAAATGCTTTTGCTAACACTGTTGCTTGTTAAATATCATCTTTGTAAGATCTGATTCACATAGAATGAGTATGTGTTATGAATTTGTATCCCCTTATTCCTTATAGACCTTGCTTTTCTCTCATGCACAGAAATTCATTAAATTGAGAAACAGTCTGCAGAGGAAAAATGTTTAGCTGTGAACTTGGTAATAGAGCCTGTTCTAGTCATAGAATTTTTTTTACAGGTTCTCTTGGAAAAGTTAATAAGACAATAGCATATTACATCTGCAGTAGTTTCATTTCACTGCTGAATGAGTTGCACTCTATTTTTCCCTTGCCTTGAAATTCAACTATTATTGAGTTCTTCTTTACTGTCATGAGCTATGACCAACACTTAATAATATTTCATATCCTAAATGTTTTGCTCACTAAAAATGCACATGAAGAAAACATTGGTTTCACAAATATTATTTTGGTCCTAATTCTAGTGCCTGTGAAGTGGTATGCAAGCTATAGACATAACAGAGAAAATGCTGTAAGTATAACTTTAGTTGTCTTTATGTCACTTACATACTGTAATATCCATAGAGGAAATTTGAAAACTTATGTATATCCAGGAGAACTTAGTCTAGGGATCTTTGCATATAAGGAGCTTATTGACAGGAGAAAAGGATGACAGACAGGATGCTATCTCAGTCTCCTGATGAAGAGGCTTTTTCAGCCTAAAAATCTAATTTTGCTATTTGCCATGCATGGTTCTATATAGTATATGCCATAGGACATCCTGGTTTTCTGAGGAAGGATGTGACTCTAAACTAATATCAAGTCTTCTAACTTTAAAATAAGTTCGTAATTATCTTCATACTGATTACCCAGTATGTGTAAAAAAGCAGTGTGGAGGAAAATGATGAATTCAGATTCATACACGCTTACATTTTGAGTTTGAGCTCAATATGGGATAATTAAGTGGAGATATAGAGTAAGCATGTGGAGTTTTTTTTAGCTCAATCAGAGAGCTTGAGGGCAGATATTTAGCCTAATGGTTAAGATACCCATTTTCCACATCAGAGTACCAGGGTTTAATTACTCAGCTCTAGCTCCTAACTCCAGGTTCTTGCTAAGGCAGGCACTGGGAGGAAGCCATGATCACTCAAGTAATTGGATTCCTGTTACCCATGTGGGAAACCTGGATTAAGTTCCTGGCTCCTGACTTGAACCCAGCTCAGGCCAAGCTACTGCAAGCAGTTGAGGAGTGAATCATTAGTTGGGAGCATTTTTCTTTCTCTCCTAAATAAATGTTCTTTTTAAGGAAACAACTTGGAGGTACAGCATTAGAATGATTAGATCATCAGTAGATACTGAAATCCTTCATATAAACGATAATTTCCAGGAACACAAAGAATAGTCAAGCGGTGGTTTAAGAATATCAACAGTTAATAGCTGGGTACTGTTTAGTAATTAAATTAAAATTACTAATATTTTGGGGCTGGTGCTGTGGCATAGTGGGTAAAGCCGCCGCCTGCAGTGCCGGCATCCCATATGGGCGCCAGTTCGAGTCCCAGCTACTCCACTTCTGATCCAGCTCTCTGCTATGGCCTGGGAAAGCAGTAGAAGATGGCCCAACTCCTTGGATCCCTGCACCCTGTGGGAGACCCGGAAGGAGCTTTTGGCTCCTGGCTTCAGATCAGCGCAGCTCTGGCTGTTGCGGCCAATTGAGGAGTGAACCAGAAGTTGGAAAACCTCCCTCTCTCTCTCTCTCTCTCTCTCTCTCTCTGTGTGTGTGTGTGTAACTCTGGCTTTCAAATAAATAAATAAATCTTTTTAAAAATTATTAATATTTCTTGAGTGTTCATTCTGTCTACATTTTATACTAATTATTTTTATCTTTTATGAATTCATTTTTAGTAAAAATAAGTATACAAATGCCTTACATTTATAATTGGTAATCAGCAGTGCTCAGACAGCGTCACAGCCAGCTCAGGCCCTGGGTGACAGGATGGCATCTCTTGGGGGTGTGCTGTATGGCCGCCAGCTCACTCTCTTATCCAGGACAGAGAAACTCAGTTCACAAGATTTCCATTGTCATAGGCAGAGATTTATATATTAGTATTTTTTAAATTTTATTTATTTTTAAATATTTATTTATTTGAAAATTAGAGTTACACAGAAAGAAGAGAACCAGAGAGAGAGAGAAAGGTCTTCCATGCGCTGGTTCACTCCCTAGTTGGCCGCAACTGATCTGAAGCCAGGAGCCAGGAGCCTCCTCCAGGTCTCCCACCTGGATGCAGGGGCCCAAGGACTTGGGCCGTCTTCCACTGCTTTCCCAGGCCACAGCAGAGAGCTGGACTGGAAGAGGAGCAGCCAGGACTCGAACCAGCGCCCATATGGGATGCCGCCACTCCAGGTGGCGGCTTTACCTGCCATGGTACAGTGCCGGCCCCATTAGTATTATTTTTAAAACATTACAAAGACAGACAATTTTGCTTAGAAAAGAATAAAGTCTCATTTTAGTTCATTCCTCTAGTTTAGTAAAAATGGAGATCAAGTTTTGACAGTAACATAATGCCTATCTTCAGAATTACACCACTCACTAAATCAAAATTTTGAAATCCTTATTTATAAAGTTAACTGTCTTTGAAATTAGGCAGTTCACGGAGCAGTTAAATATTTTCCATACACACTTATTGTTAGTGAATACTATAAATAAGACATTTGTAATTTCCCCAGTTCCAGGGTGAACAGGATTTGCAGGAACAAGATTCAGATTCTAGCACTCACTCCATCATCAGCTGTATGGTTCTAGACAAGCCACTCTGGGTCTCTGCCTTCACTCACACCAAACAAGGGTAACCTTTCATTCACCTGCCTCCTAGGTAAGCAGACATGGATCAACACACACAGAAGTTAAAACACGTAAAGTTTCTATCCTACTGGCTACTTCCTCATTTTTCACACACATTTTTGTAATTTAAAATAAAATTGCTTACTTTCAGAATTATGAATTTCAGTAGCCATAAGACAAAGTAACAAAGCTAGTCATAAAAATAAATCTGCTCATGCATTATTATATAAAGAAGTAATAATTATAAAAATAGGTACAATTGTGTAAAATGTTTCTATTTATTCTAGCTTAGGAGTTCTTGCCCACATCAGCAGATTGTCTGGCATCGGACACTGCATCAGGTACTAGAACGCTCATTGTCCATAGATTTTGTCAAACAGATTTGGCAGCCCAACAGTGATTCGTCTGTACGTCCATGCACCAGATCAAGCATGTCATTGTCATTAGTGACTGGCTGTAACTTGTCGTATATGTGCTCTTCAAAGATGAGTTGGCAGGTAGAGCAGGCCCTGGGTTCCCTCACAAGCACCCAAACCATCAATATCTAGATTCTTTTGAACCACAACATCTAGCAGAGAGTCACCAACTTTGCTTTTGGTTGTTAATGTTGCACCCTCACGGTTTATAAAGTGTATTGTACCTTTTTCTTCTGAGCTCTTCTGTGCCCTTAGCAACAAGCTCAGGAGCCAGCCCCCTCCACATCCCGAGCCTCTCCCCCAGTTCCAGCTTGGCTTCCTGCAGCCAGAGCTACCAGATGCAAAACAGGTCGGGGGGGGGGTGCGAAGGGGCAGTGGAAGTGGGGGAGGTAGGAGGGACTGGGGGAGTGGGGGTGGGGTGGGGGATGTGGTGGGGGGAGCTTCGCAAGTGCTAAGTGCTGGCGGGTGGCGGCAGAGGGTCCAAGGGGCCGGACTGTCTGCTGTGAGCAGTGTACCCAGGCTACACTATTTAATATGAACACTATCATTTAATTCTCAGAATGATCATAAGAAAAATGCTATTATTATCTGTCGCTCCCCCTCTTCGTGGAGGAACGACACTAAACCCTGCCTAGGCTTCATATCCGAGTCACGGCACCATTATGTCGCTCCCCCTCTTCGTGGAGGAACGACACAGGACCCTGCGCTGTTCTTTCGTCTGCTCGGCCCTCCCCGGGTTTGCTGCTGGTTCTTCCCGGGTTGGCTACTATCCCTTCCACCTCCGTGGAAGGGCAGTTCCCCCTGGCCACATTCCCCACTTCCGCAGGGGAGCAGCACACCGCCGGCCGGCTTTCTCGGGGGCTGCACGGGTTCCCTTAGATGTTCCCCATAGATGTTCCTGGTGCATGCCGTCTCTCTCCTCCTTTATAGTCCTCCTCCGCCAATCCCAACTCGGCTGCCCACACGCCGAGTACGCTGCTCTCCAATCAGGAGCAAGTCCTACAGTTAATTGGTTGAACTGGAGGCAGCTGTGCGGAAGCTGTTTACTTCTCTCCCAGCGCCATATTGTGGGAGAGCAGATGCATAGAATAAGTCTTAATTCCAGTAACTCAGTCCAGTCCGGATTGCTCCCCACAATTATCCATATTTTACAGTGAGAAAACAGGAACCCAGAGAAGGGACACATCTAGCATGTGGTAGAAATAGGAATTTTCCTTATCCCATAATTTTGATCACTAGCATTTTTTTTCAAATTTTATTGATCAGTAACCACAATACAAAGATTTTGGAATATAGCAGTGAAAAATAGAAAATATTCTGTTTTCATGGACATTACCTCCTTTTGATTAAACAGGCTTCAAACATGTACATCCATAAATTAAAAACATAAGACAAAATTGTGTTAATGACTGTAGAGGAAATAATTTGGATAAGATGATGGTGTGTGGGGGCCGGCACTGTGGCTTACTTGGTTAATCCTCCACCTGCGGCGCCAGCATCCCATATGGTCACCGGTTCTAGTCCCAGTTGCTCCTCTTCCAGTCCAGCTCTCTGCTGTGGCCCTGGAGGGCAGTGGAGGATGGCCCAAGTGCTTAGGCCCCTGTGCCCACGTGGGATACCAAGAAGAAGCACCTGGCTCCTGGCTTCGGATTGGCCTAGCTCCGGCCATTGCAGCCATTTGGGGAGTGAATCAATGGAAGGAAGATCTTTCTCTCTGTCTCTGTCTATAACTCTGTCAAATTAAAAAAAAAAAAAAGATGATGGTGTGTATAGGGGAGGGGTGGAGATAAAAAATATGTTAGTTTTAGAAACAACCTGATAATATTTAATCTGCAAATTGAAGAATGAGAAGGAGCATTGAAGAAGCTTAAGCCTAGAGTCATTTGATCTAGTTTATATTTAAAAATATTGTTTTAGTTATATTTTAAAATATTACTTTAGTTGCTCTCTGAAGATTAGGTTGTATGGCAATAAGAATGGAAGAAGTAGGAAAAACAGGAGGAAGCTGTCATTAGTCCTTGCAAGAGATGATGATATCTTTCTTTAAAGTAGTATTAGAGGAAATGAAAGATAGGTAGGTTTGATATTTAATCTTGATACAGGTAATCTGGAACTTGCTGTTTGGTTATGGATAAGGAAAGGGAGAAATCAAAAGGACAAAAAATAACAAATGATGGCAATGTTGTGGAAAAAAGGGAACCCTGATACACTGTTGGTGGGAATGCAAGTTAGTATACTGATTATAAACAATAATATGGTGATTCCTCAAAAACTAAAACAGATCTATTATATGACCCAGGTTTTACATGTCTCATAATCTACCCAAAGGAAAATTCTGCATATGAAAGAGAAAGTGCTGGCTCATATGTAAATCATAGATAGAAAAATAAATTGGAAGACTTTTATAGCCTTTAGTAGAAAATGGAATCCATTTTAAAAATGGCTTTTTTGTTGAAACACATAATAAAGCCATAAGATTTCATTTTATTAATTCAATTATGTACATATAAGAGAAACACACCATTTTTCATAAGGAAAATTAGGTAACTTTCAAAATGAGTGGATATTCACTAATGTCCCTATCTATTACATTGATTGTCATTTTGCTGGTGATTAGCGCCATATGTTTATTGGACTCAAAGTTATAGTCATTAAGTATTAAAATTCTCTCTAAAACCAAGACAATACTTGTTTTAAACTTTTCTTCTCCATCCAGTACACCTAACATTAAACAATGAAAATTACTTAGAAGTCAAGGGGAGCCTCATCAAAGCAGCTCACTGGAAAGTCATTGTTTTCCTGGGTCTTTAATATTCTCTTTAAAACATGTAGATTTCCTTATCAGACTAAGCCTCCACTTGTAGCGGCTCCTGTAGTGCCGCTGGCAGCATTGCATAAGGTTCTTGTCCAGGCTGCTCCACTTCCGATTCAGCTCTCTGCTATGGCCTGGGAAAGCAGTGGAAGATGGCCCAAGGTCTTGAGCCCCTGCACCCACATGGGAGACCTGGAAGAAGCTCTTGGCTCCTGCCATTTGGGAAGTAAATCAGTGGATGAAAGCGAAGCCCCCCTCCTCCCCTGCCTCTCCCTCTCTGTAAGTCTGCCATTACAGTGTTAAGTCTTAGTTCTTATGCCTTTGGGCAGAAGAGTGTACCACTTATTTTAAATGAGTTTGTCCCTGTCTTTGAGGCTCAGTCCCTTAAGTGTGTTGTTACCACAAAAGAAAATACTTGGGTTTGAATACTTAAAAAATGAAATTGATAGCATACATTATGTAATGAAATAAGTTTATATTTCTGGATAAAATTAGAAATGGAATAAAGATGTGAACTACTTAAGAGATAAAAATAATGATAGTGCTTATAAGCACTGTGAACCCTTTTGTGTTTGAGGCTTCCAAAATTCAAGTGTTTACTAGAGTTTTCTACTGAAATCCTGCTCTCCTTTTCTGTGCTTCACACATTTACTCTTATTATTGATGTTGTAAAACAGGAGGGTTAAAGTGTCATTGTATCTATGTTCATTAAGTAGGGCATGAGGTCGCACAGGGGCATGGCGAAGGCGTGGTCTTCCGGCTCACAAACCTAATCAATTTTAACCTGTATGCCTGCCTACTTCCAATCCCATAGCTTTTCTAGTTAGGAAAAAATAGTCTCAAAAATACTCTTAGTGTCATTTTTTGGGTTAATATTTTACCCCCTAATGGTATTAGATATCTTTAATCATTTTAATAAGCTGTCGATAAAAATTTAAAACATTACATATTGTATTTGAACTAGTTAGTGGAGAGTAAGGAAAAAAACTAGCTTATTGAGACTGTAGATGTTCCATTAGTCAAATTTCAAAATTTTTAATTAAGGAACTTTCAGAGATAGGTTGAGACCTGTCGGTATCCATTAGACTAGCTCCTTTGATGTGGAAAGGAACCCAGAAGCAGTGGAGGACAGGTGAGAGCGTTTAGTTGCCATGGCTGTGGTTGTGGTGTGCTCGTACTTAAATACAGGTAGTGACACACTGACATTTTTGTTGCCCAATAATCTGGAGTAGTGTCCTTCATTTAGCTGTACTAAAATAACTATAAATTAATGGAATCTACAAAGAAGAAACTTTATGACTGTACTGTATTTGGGAGCCTTTGTACAGCTAGGTAAAGTTTCCATGATACAAAGTATTTGGATTTTAAAATTTACTATTATAAGGAAGAAGACACAGCAGGATTCCATGCACTTAAATGATAACTTGCTTATTGTGTTTCTGAAGGAAAAATAAGAGACGAGTAATTGTCATCACTCTGTTAGCTGTAAGGTTAAATTGGCAAGTTAAGCATAAAACATAAATCCGTGTTTCTCAAATGTTAACCATAGTAGTCTAATGGTGCTTTGCGTGTACTGTAAGTGCTACAAATAGAGTCAGCAGTGAACACGTATTGATACCTCTCAAATGAATGCAACCTTTGATGTAGGTGTTCTGATATGCCTCAGAAAATATTTGAGTGCAAATTTTTTAATCTGCTTGATAATGAAGATACTTCCTATTCTTTTTTGTTGTTCTATATCTTCATGTTAAATTTGAATTTTTTACATTTGTACTAGTGTTAATTTAAGTACAGTTTGTTCAATGGTTAAAATGGGGTTGTCAGTGAAGAGACTTAAAAACAGCCTCATTCAAATAGTTGCTTAAATAAAACTTATATTTTGCATTCTATGTTCATACATTTTAATGATCTGTATTTCTCTTTAAATATAAGTGATGATGTTTAAGCTTTCTTTTGGTTTAATAACACTTTTTATCATTGACTAAATGAAGGAATGTATCTTTTTGAAGAGATTTATAATCTGCAATAAAAATTGGTCAAAACAATTAAAAAAGACAGAAAAAACAAAAATAAATAAATTTAAAAAAAAACATGTTTGAATAGCAAAGTTTAGAATTTCTTTATATTACTGCAAAGGACTTCAGGAAATTCTAAACTTTGCTATTCAAACATGTCTTATAAAAAGAGAATGAAAATCTTACCCACACACAAGATTGTTCTATTTCTGATAAGAAAAAAAAGAAATTTGCCCTTCAGTGCCCACAGTGAAAAAGGATAGTTTGTACCGAATATTTTCTCAATCATTCTGTATGAAACACAGCTCCTTTAAAAATTATTTATTTATTTGAAAGGCAGACTTGAGAGAGACAGAGGGAGAGACACGGGGAGACATTTTTCCTGTGCTGACTCACACCTCCAAATGGCCAAAACTGCCCAGAGCTAGGAGGATCCTAAGCCAAAAGCCTGGAGTTTCTATAGGATTTCACACCTGTGTGCCAGAACTCACATCTGAGTGTCAGCCCTAAGCCATTAGGCAATCTACTTCTTTCTATATGAAAAAGGGCAGGTTGGACTCAAACCAGCAACCACCTAGGATGCCTGTGGCTTAGCCTATGGGAAATCTAGATAGGTTTTAAAGAGAACACTAAATATACAAGAAAACTGACTATGCTATGAGTTTTTTATGAGGCATCTAGACTTATTTTTCTGGCTATGATTTACATAAGAACCAGCATTGTGGCTCAGTGGGTTAGAGTCACAGCCTGCAGCACCAGCATCCACATGGGCATCAGTCCTAGTCCTGGCTGCTCCACTTCTGATCCAGCTCTCTGCTATGGCCTGGGGAAGCAGTAGAAGGTGGCCCAAGTCCTTGGGTCCCTGCACCCATGCAGGAGAGCCTGCAGAATCTCTTTGCTCCTGGCTAGGGATCTACTCAGCTCCGGAGTTTGGGGCCATTTGACAAGTGAACAGGCAGATGGAAACATCTCAATCTCCAACTCTCTGTAGTCTGCCATCATATAAATAAATTAATTAAATAATTAAAAATCACCAGGAAAATGGCAATAGTTAAGAGGATCAGGGCATCATAAATATCAATCATTTTGAAAGGTACCTGATTTTACTTATGAAAAAATGGTGTTTCTGGGGCTGGTGCTGTGGCACAGCTGGTAAAGCCGCTGGCTGCAGTGCCGGCATCCCATATGGGCACCAGTTCAAGACTGGGCTACCCACTTCCAATACAGCTCTCTGCTATGGCCTGGGAAGGCAGTGGAAGATTGCCTAAGTCCTTGGGCTCCTTCACCAACCTGAAACACCAGGAGGAGGCTCCTGGTTCCTGGCTTCCAATCACAACACCAGCAGTTGCAGCCAAATGGAGCATGAGCCAGTGGATGTGTTAGTTAGGAAGTCAGAAATTGAGCCTATGTGTGTATGACAAAGGCCTGAAGACCAGCACCTACTGCGGAAGCTTGAGAAGCCCAGCATCTTACACTTCAAGGTCCAGCCCGGATCCTGATGACCTTCCAGGGAGTCCTGCCCCTTCTACCTGATAACCTTCCAGGTGCAGCCTAGCCTCTGCACTTCAAAGCCCCGCCCGGATCCTGATGACCTTTCAGGGGGTCCTGCCCCTTCTACCTGGCTTGATAACCATCCTTCCTTTAAGGTGGGGTGATGCCAGCCAGGCTTCCTCTGTCTGATAACTTCAGGGGGAAAAACTCAGAAAGGAACTTTTCGTATTTACATCCAACAAACCCTTTGTGCAGGAGGAGAAGAAGGAGAGGGGGAGGGAAGGCAAGACCCATCCCCTTAAAAACCCCAGCCTAAATGTGCACTACGTACTCTCCTGTCTGGAGAGGTGCTCATCCGTTCTTACGGATGTCCCTACCTTAATAAACCTTGCTATGTTGCTTTCCCATGCTCTCTCTCACGCCTGAATTCTTTCTTGTGTGAAGACAAGGACCCTTCGCTTCTCTGGTAACAGATGGAAGAACTCTCTCTCTCTGTCTCTCCAACTCTCTATGGAATTCTTTCAAGTAAATAAATAAATCTTAAAAAGAAAAACGGTTTTGGCCGGCGCCGCGGCTCACTAGGCTAATCCTCTGCCTTGCGGGGCCAGCACACCAGGTTCTAGTCCCGGTTGGGGCTCCGGATTCTGTCCCGGTTGCCCCTCTTCCAGGCCAGCTCTTTGCTGTGGCCAGGGAGTGCAGTGGAGGATGGCCCAAGTCCTTGGGCCCTGCACCCCATGGGAGACCAGGATAAGTACCTGGCTCCTGCCACCGGATCAGCGTGGGGCGCCGGCTGCAGCGCGCCAGCCGCGGCTGCCATTGGAGGGTGAACCAACAGCAAAGGAAGACCTTTCTCTCTGTCTCTCTCTCTCACTGTCCACTCTGCCTGTCAAAAAAAAAAAAAAAAAGAAAGAAAAATGGTTTTCTAAAATATGTACATACATTAATCAATGCAATGCCTTTATTACATGTTTCTATCAGGAAGCTATTTTTAAAAGGGATTATGTTTTCTATTAAAGCCACTGCCCTCCCTCACACCCACCACAGTGGGCCCTGCTACTCTGCAGACCCTCACAAGAGGAGGAGGTGGGATGTCTCCCTCAGCTTTTCTGAGCAGTGGCTGAGGTAAGCATCCCTTCATTTTAAGGTCACCTGAGTGTCCTTATTCAAAAAGCGCTTTCGCATGTATTTAGATAATGTAATTAACACCGTGAAATGTTATACTTTTGGGATGTGTTTCTATGAAAAAGGCACGTTGTAAACGAAGTTATGTTTTCTATGAAGGGCTAGAGAGCTATGGAGCCAGCTTGTGGTTGGGTGGTGGTAGCTTTGGGATCTGCAAGGAGAGAAAGCCCACACTTCCAAGAATGGAGAGTTCCTACTCGCACTTCCAGGAACAAAAAGTCCTTGTCAAGGTCCCTGCAGGTGCCTAAAGGTCAACCAATGAGGATCTGACCTGCCTCAACTTTTAACCCTCACGCCCTGTATCTACAAAAGGAGCCCTCCCAACCTCTGACCCACGATTTCCCCAGCCGCCACTCTGTTGGGACTAGTGAACCTCGCCCAGAAGTGGAATCCCAATAAAACCTTGTGAATTAATTTATTCATCTGGCTGGGAAGATTTGTTATGCGCTGGACACCTTGCAGGTGGGTTAAAGCCCTGCCCTTCAGTTGCTGGCATCACACACCTCCAATCCAGCTCTCTGTTTTGGGCTGGCGAAGCAGTGGAAGATGGCCTGAGTCCTTGGGCCCCTGCACCCATGTGGGTGACCTGGAAGAAGCTTCTGGCTTGTGATCAGCTCAGTTCTGGCTTTCAGGCCATCTGGAAGTGAACAGGCAGATGGAACACCCCACCCCCCGCCTCGATCTCTCTGATGCTTGTAAGTCAACCATCATATAATGAAGATAATTTGAAAAAAAAAAAAGCAGTTCATATAGCAAAGTTTACAAGTTTGCTAAGTCCTATAAAAATATCAAAAAAGGGAAAGAAAGATTTAGATAATTAAAATCTTTCACATACAAAAGAATAATTTTGATTGAATGTTTACTCAGTGATCCTATATATGAAACACAGCTTCTTCTTTTTTTGCAATTTATTGATTTGAATGGCAGAGAAACAGAGAGACAGAGGGAGAGACAGAGCGACATCTGCCCCTTGCTGTTTCACTCCCAGAAATGGGCACAAGTGCCTCCAGGCTGGGAGCATTGAAAGCTAGGAGTCTTGGAGTTTGGGAGTTTCTTCTGGCCACCTGCTGCTTTTCTCCTAGGCTCTTGGGGAGAGCTGGGTGGGAAGTGGGGCAGGCAGGACCCAAACCAGCACCCAGCTGGGATGCCTGCAGCTCCGCCTTCTAGGAAATGTAGTGGTTTTTTTTTAAAGATTTATTTATTTACTTGAAAGTTAGAGTTACGCAGAGAGAAAAGGAGAGGTAGAGAGACAGAGAGAAGAGAGAGAGATATGTCTTCTGTCTTTTGGGTCATTTCCCTATTGGCAGCTTCAAATAGATCTGCGCCGATCCATGGCCAGGAGCTTCTTCTTCCTCTCCCACAGGGGTGCAGGGCCCCAAGGACTTCTCCACTTTCCACTACTTTACTTGGCCATAGCAGAGAGCTAGATTGGAAGTGAAGCAGCTGGAACTGGAATCACTGTCCTTATGTGATGCCGGCACTGCATTCATTGGCCTTACCTGCTCTGCCACTGCACTGGCCCAATATTTGGTTGTTAACATTAGGCATGCTGGAGAAGAAAAACTTAAAACTTTGAGTAAGTTTCAAAGACAATTTTAATACTTAATGAATATAAGTTTGAGACTAATAAGATTTGGTGCAAGTCACCAGCCAAATGGCAATCAATGTACAGGCTATACAATGGAATGTTGTGGAGAATCCCACAGGAAGTCCCAAACGAGTGACGGATCACCACTTACCTGACCAGCAGAAGGAGGTAAACTGTGGAAACTCTGCAGGAAAACATCTAGAGTCAAAAACTGCCACTATCCACAAAGTAAAAGTAGAAGAAAATGGAGTTACTCGTGCTAAGCCAGAAGCTGATGACATCACCCATGTCAAGCTCAGCGCTTGCCAGAAAAATGCCCCTCATCAGACTGCACAGGCATCTCTGGACAGCCTGATAAGCATGTGCTGTGGACAATAGCTTGAGTTACCTCACCAACTCGCACAAGGATTGGACATGAGTGGGAGACACCCGAACCCAGACAACGGACTGGTGACACCTCGGGGGACTCCCAGCTGATTGGACTGAGTCAAGCGTGGACAGCACGTGAACAGCAGGTGAGCTGCAAGAAAAGATTAGGATAAAAAAGGGGGCCTTTTGTGTTGCTCTCCATCCTCTCGGGGATCATGGCCCGGTGTGTGTGAACCTCTGGATCTCCTCACACTTGGAACTAAAGAGGCAACTAGCTAGACCCCTTGCTAAGCGATACAAGATGACTACGGGATCAAAACTCCAGCCGAGATGCCGCCTCGCTGCCTCACCTGGACCCCTTATCAGCTTGCTGCCAAAGCAAGCTTCAGAGCTGGACCAGGCCTCTCAGCAGGGGACTTCTCCAACTCCTTGCCTTGCCATCTGCCTGATAACTCCAAGCCCACTGCCCAGAATGACAGCCTTCCCATGAGTTCCTGCCTGTAAGTCACTGATCCGAGATGCGTCTCTGCTGAGACATTGAGCTCTGGACTTTGAACACTGACTCTTTTTCGTGACCGTGATAGGAGCCTAGAAACACAGCTTTTACAAATAACGTTAATCATGTGTAATATAATATAACTATGCTTTAACTCTATGACTAAAAGTAATGCTATTATAATTGGATAGTCTTTGAAATTACTCTAATATTGTATACTGTGAGCTGTGGATTAATAAATAAGTTCAAGTAGTATTATTGATATTAATATTAATGGTTATTCCAGTAGTTCTTTAGTCATTAAGGAAATAGTGTTACTCTGATAGTTAAGTGTTATTATAGTAGTTAAGTCAAGATAATTAGTTATGTTAAGTAGTAAGTTAAGCTAAGTAGTTAAGTCACGTTAAATAGTTGTGTTAAATTTATTGATAAGTGTGTTAAGAAGTAAAAATTGATAAATATATTGATACTAATAAGTGTATTGACCCCACTGAATAAGTAGATAAATAGTGTGATAATATCCCTAGTGTATAAGCAATAAAAATGTTCATTGTGAAGACAGTCTTCCTTCCCCGTGCTCTGACATGTCACTCTAAGCCCTGTTGAGTTGCGTGACAGGAAACACTCACGACAGATGTCATGTAGTTTTTCTTTAGGAGTATTAAAAGAAGTGATATATGTTTTATTGAACTTAGAAGAAACCAAAAAACCTGGAGGAAGCCATCCTCTACATGATACCACCAGGATGAGATGAATACATTGAGGCCACCTGCTCATTTTTGGTTATTCGGAAACTACAATAAAATATTTAGTTAGTTATTTTTAGCCATACTGAATCTTCTTTTTCAGTTACTAACTCATTTTTTTTTTGCCAGGCAGAGTCAGACAGTGAGAGACAGAGAGTTACAGTGAAAGAGAGACAGAGAGAAAGGTCTTCCTTCTGTTGGTTCACCCCCTCCCCCGAAATGGCCAGCGCTGCACTGATCCAAAGCCAGAGCCAGGTGCTTCTCCTGGTCTCCCATACAGGTGCAGGGCCCAAGGACCTGGGCCATCCTCCACTGCCTTCCCAGGTCACAGCAGAGAGCTGGCCTGGAAGCAACCGGGACAGAATCCGGCACCCCAACAGGGACTAGAACCTGGGGTGCTGGCGCTGCAGGCAAAGGATTAGCCTAGTGAGCCGCGGCGCCAGCCAACTCATTTGTTTTCTAGATGCAGTCAGACGTTATGACTCCTGTAAGCGACGTGTCAGATTTATGGTTCGAATTAATACTCTTCTTAAAAATGAAAACTAAATTCTTTTAAAAAGATTTATTTATTTATTTGAAAGGCATAATTACAGGGAGTTAGAGGCAGAGATAGAGAGGTCTTCCTTCTGCTTGTTTATTCCCCAAATGGCTGCAATGGTTGGAGCTGAGCCAATCCCAAGCCAGGAGCTTCTTCCAGGTTTCCCACGCGGGTGCAGGCCTACAGACTTGTGCCATCTTCCACTACTTTCCCAGTTCATAGCAGAGAGCTGGATCTGAAGTGGAGCAGCTGGGATAAAACTGGCACCCATATGGGATGCCAGCACTGCAAACAGTGGCTTTCTCTGCTACACCATAGCCTCTTCTAGGTATGCGATGCCAGTGCAGGGGCCTGTGTACTTGGGCCATCTTCCACTGCTTTTCTAGGCCATAGCAGAGAGCTGGATCTGAAGTGGAGCAGCCAGGACTCAAACCTGTGCTCATATGGGATGCCGGCACTATAAGCAGCAGCTTTATCTGTTCTGCCACAGCGCCGGCCTGTAAAACTAAATGTTATTTACTTGGAAATATGACCATGCTCTTGCCTTTCTGGATTGGGGTTGGGGGGAACAGGGGTGAAATGGAGTGAGAGAATAACCTGAATTTATTTTTGAGGGGAGCAGAATGAACACATGAAGAAGCATAAAATATTTGAACTCATTGGTGTGGTGGTGACATATATATCCAACGTTATTATGAACAGTGTTAAATTGCTTAAAATGAACACAGAAACAATTCATTCATTTACTTGGGAATATATGCTTATAGCCAATTCAACTTGGTGAACTTAAGTAGTTCTCCTTAATCAGTGTGTAGGAGCTACACAGTCTATCATTTACAATAGACTCTTCCGACTTGGAAATCTCTTACATTATTAATTTCCTAGTCCAAGTTGATTATCTTTTAGCAGTTACAGACTACATAAAAGAGACATGAATATACTCGAATAATGACAATAACAACAAAAAATAAAAAGGTTTCCATTTATTTAGCAATTACTGTGTGCCAGATACAATGCTAGTGGCTTTGTATAAACTATTTTGTTTCCTCACCACAACTCCATGACTGAGTATTTTTCTCCCCTTTGAACAGATGAGACATTGAAATGCAAAAATTAAAAATCGTACCTAAGGTAATATAGTTAGATAATATTTGGAGATACCAAAGTGCAAATCAATGTCATCTAATATACTTCTAATATACCTCTAACGTACTATTCTTATATATATATATATATATAGACATCTATGTCTATATATATAATTATAATATACATTACTACTATAATCTACCCCCAATATTACCAGTGGTTCTTTTCGGCAAAGATATTAAAGTTTTTTTTTATTAGCTCCCTCATACTTTTCTCCACGTTTTCTTCAATCCATATATATTGCTTTTATAAGTATCAATTTTTTAAAACCCCTTCTTTAATGCCTAAAACATGAGATCCTTGTGGTAGTTGTGTTATTGTCATATCTTCAATATTTTTTGAAATAGCTTCTTCTCATGTGTTCCAAATGGAACCTTAATTTATTATACCAAGTGTTCTTTGTTTCAAGTATAGTCCTTAAACTAAATTCTGGCTAATCTATATATTCTATCTCAGAAATAACAGAAGTTAGCTTAGAAGATGATCACAATACCTTGAGTCCTTCCTTAAATTCATAGTATGATTCAAAAACAAAAAAAAAAGTCTTTTCCACTGAGGTTCCAAGTTGGGAAAACATTAAAATGAAACCTTGGTGGCTATCTTTCCTGAAATATGGATAGAGGCTCTGCAAAATGAAGTCAAGCAGAGGGGAAAATAATTGGGAAGTAGTTATTTTGATAGCGGTAATTCCTAGTTTTAATCCTTTATGTAATTGTTCTTGTAATTTTTCCTTTGCCCTATTCTGGACTTGTGTTCTGGAATGTACTATGACTATTTTAAAGCTCCATAATTGACTACATTGATTAGCTATGTGTGGCAGTCATGGTACATGTTAGTCATTTATCCATTTTTTCTAATGTAAAACCCATAGAACAGTATTCCTTGACGAACGTCAGTTTTTGACTAAGAATTTTCTTGAAAATACTAGTCAGTCATGGTGTTCATAGTAAAATGTTATTAATTGTGCACTGAAGTGTTTGAGAAGTCCTTTAGTAAAAACAAAGCAAAATAAAAAAAATCACTGATTAATTCTTGAATGTAGAATTTCTGTTACTATATTTTAATTAAACAGTTAATATCCTTCAAATTGAAAATGAAACTCGATGAAGGGCGGGATGGGAGAGGGAGTGAAAGAGGGGAGGGCCACGGGAGGGAGGGAGGTTGGGGGGGGGAACCACAACAATACAAAAGTTGCACTTTGTAAATTCACATTTATTAAATAAAAAAAACTATATAACAAACAAAAAAACAGTTAATATCCTTCAAATACATTTTCAGAAATGCAGATATATATGCTATAATTATTCATAATAATTTAAAATATTAATTTTGATGCTCTACTGTTGATCTTTCACCAAAATTCCCTGTGTAATTGATTAAATTCATATCATTATATTCAAGAGCATGTTTCAACTATTCAAGATAAGTTTTAATTTCAACTAGAATCCAGCATGATAGGTTTCTCTCCTAAGTGTGGATTATCTAAATACTTGGTAAGAAATACTTCTAAAGCCTCATAAAAGCATTTGTTCACTCTATAGTAACAGAAAGAATTAAGGTTAGAGACTCAACTTATTTTGCTAGATAATATCTTTCAGTGTAACACTGTTGTTAATTGATATTTTCTTTTATAAAGATTTCTTTATTTAAAAGGC